TCCCCATATTAGAATTAGTGAAACTGCACGTTTTTAGAATTTTTTTTTCTGTTTTATAATGTAAAAATTGCTTGGACTAGTTAACATTGGTTATTGTGGAAGTATATCTCTATGATTCTGGACAAATATCTGTACAATTGAATGTATGTCTAGGTGCTAGACAGCTTCTTTGCCATGTGAAAAATGTAATTTAACCCTGACATTTGAATTCATTTCTTCATACCCAATTGTGTTGAACACTAACTTGCTGTAACTGAGTCATATGATGTTTTCTTGTATGCAAATTTATTCTGAATGTTGGTATAAAGAAATATCGGGGATCTCTATGATTTGAAAATTAAAACTATGGGTGCCTTGGGGCTGGTGGAGCAGGCATGGCACTGAAACTTTGACACGAGTGTCTGTCAGTATGAGTCACTTGGTTACTCATCATGGGCAAAAATATTTCTAAAGAAAAAAAATCATTTTCATCTAAATCAGTTTGCTGTCTGCTTTGTTAAAAACAGCTATGACTTGCAAACAGCATTAACAGGAAAAATAACAAATCAGAATAAATTTTCTCCACTTGCGTGGCAAGTATTATTAGGGTGTTTTATCACATTTTTTTGACCACATGTTTATTTGTAAATGCACGTAATGTAACAGGACACTAATAACTTTAGATGTAATGCTAATTGCACTTTGCATCAATCTGCAAAATAAGTTTTTTGTTGTTGATGCGACTATGTATTTAAAAGGTGTTGTGAGATATATTTTGTTTGTGTGGGGACTTAATTTAAAAAGGTATTGAAGTCGTGGCTTGACTAATTTCAAATGGTAAATCTTGTATATTTCTACTTCAATTCAGGTTGTTGTACTAACTAATTCATCCTTGGAAGCACAAATCAAGATTGGAGATTACTGCCACTCAAAAGGGATCCAACTTATCATTGTTGACACCAAAGGATTGTTTGGTCAACTCTTTTGTGATTTTGGAGAAAATTTCATAGTGAATGATGTAAATGGGGAGCAACCAGTCAGCAATATGATTGCATCTGTTACCAAGGTAATATATGAAATATTATTTTCCAATTTGTTCAGACGATGTGGATTATCATCTTTTAATTTGTATCAGTTTTGTAGAGTTTGAGTGCATGGTACGGTCTTGGCAAATATTATTTATGATTTAATTTCAGGATAAGGATGGGGTAGTAACCTGTCTTGATGAAGCCAGGCATGGTTACGAGAGTGGAGATTTTGTAACATTTGCTGAAGTACAGGTACGTCACTTGCACGCATGGACAATTTATCACTGTTCTAGGGGTAGTATGTTCTGTCAAAACTTTTGACCATATTGTTTTCCTTTCTCTTTATTTTTGTACATTGATTTTTTTTTCTCAGGGTATGAAAGAGCTGAATGGCTGTGAACCAAGAGAAATTAAAGTATTGGGACCTTACACGTTCAGTATTGGTGACACAACTGGTATGTCTGATTATGTCAGAGGTGGTATTGTGACTCAAGTCAAGATGCCAAAATCTCTCAAATTTGTAAGTACACTATTATATAATTACGCATTGTGTATTGGATATACAAAAAAAAAATGAAATGCCAAAACCAATTTTTCACCTTTCATAAAAAAAGTTCATCAGGTTCAAAATTAGCAAAAAACTTGACATTACTTTAGCCGGAACAATGGTGGTGTTTAAATGGTTGGTGGTAACTAGTTGATTTATTGGTGGAATTAAGTTCAAGACTGTCTTCACATGTGGTCATTTTGAATAACAAACAAATCGTATTTGGTCTCAATAGTCGATCTGTGTGCAAGATTTAGGAATCTAATGTTCTAAATATGTTTATTCAAAGAAATCACTGAAAGCTTCATTGGCTGAGCCGGAAATGATGATTACTGATTTTGCCAAGTTTGACCGACCTGGGCAACTCCATATTGGTTTTCAAGCTTTGCACGAATACAAGAAGAAAAATGGATGTCTGCCAAAGCCCAGAAGCAAGGTATAGTTGTCTTTCACTGCAAGGTCAATAACAAGCGTTTCAACTACCATATTTGTTCTATAATTAGGATATGTCAATGACTACATTCATTCAAAGAAGAATGATGGTAGTGTCAAATTCAATAAAAGCATAATGGTCTGAGGTGGGAAGGTGATTTATTAACTTTCCTGACATAATTTACGAATTCATCTGGATGATAATTAGGTATCCAGACTTGTTTCCTATAAACTAATTTAGTTCCTCCTCTACCGCATTCAGATATTGTTGGTTTCTAACGAGGCAAATGTTTTTGTCACTTTATCCAGGAGGATGCTGAAAAATTTGTTGCTGGCAAAAGAGATAAATGCAAATGCACCAGCTGGAGCTAAACAAGACTCTATAGATGACAAATTGTTAGGTCTGCTAGCTATGAATGCACAAGGGGATGTTTGTCCAATGCAGGCTGTATTTGGTGGCATTGCAGCACAGGAAGTCATGAAGGTATGTAGCAATTCATTCCTAGCTTCTTTAGCTTGGCATGGTCGTGAACCTCACCTTTTCACCCCCAGTTCGCAAAATAGTCTTCGTTAATAGTCTGCACTTTCCTTTAGGTAAGATTTGCGCAAATTTTGTGTGTTCGCTCCAAAATTAGGGTTACTTTCCAGAAATATAAAGACTACAAGAAAAAGTGCAGACAAATTTGGGTGAGAAAGTCAAGGGGGTGCAACGGTTAAAAATCAAATTGCCATAGAAATCTCAACTAGATCCCAGTGGCAATTTGCAATCAATTCTATGTTCATCAATTATATCTAGTGTATTGACCGAGTTTACTGTGTTTGTAGGCATGTAGTGGTAAATTCAACCCTATATACCAATGGATGTACTTTGATGCCTTGGAATGTCTACCTGAAAATGATGACCCAACCACTGAAGCAGAATGCCAATCAGTGAGTATGATTTGTAATCTATTCAGTTGTCAGAATAATTCACTCTTGTTATACTACAGTCATGTGACTTTT